AAAATCTTTCCAAACGTACACCGCCTTTCAGGCTTTCAGCACTTTATTCAGCTATAAGTTTTATATTCCGGCGTGAGCGCTGAAAGCCATAATGCCTAAAACAGCGATGCCCAGCGCAGGGCACTTGCCTATAGAATTCTGCCAGCGCAGAGCACTTGCTTATGGAGTTCTGCCGGCGTTGGGCATGCCAGGCCTAAAAGGTTTGGTGTGGAGTTCTACTTTTAAAGGCTCAACCAGCCATCGGCAGAGCACCCTTCCGTATCTGTCGTCCGTATCAACATATGAAATTGCTGTTGATAGAGAGAGAGAGAGAGATAAGATAGGTCGTGTCAGCTGACACGGTCTCCGGTTTTTCGTCGGTGAGCTATAAGCCCCGTCTACATACAACTTTGGCGTTGGCGTTGGCGTCGCTTCAACCGCTGGTGTGTTAATTTAGTTGTCAAAGTATTCGTTGCCAAGCATTTGTTGTAGCAAGCACTGACGTTGCTAGCGCTATTGCCGAACCGACGCCAACGCCAATGTAACGCCAACGCAACGCCAAAATTGTACGCGGACTGGCCAGCTGACAGCTGAATAGTGCGCTGAATACTGAAAAGCGGTGAAAAGCCTTTTGTGGAGCTGTACTCTAACAGCGTGGCCGCTCTTATGAAAACTATGTATTCGCTTAAAAAAGCATACTGAGCAGCAAGCAAAAATAGCCGTCTAATCCAAGCAATCCTATTAAAACACTTCAGCGTGGCCAATGTTATTCCAACACCAACGTTTCCTAATCCACCCGTTATTGGTTGGTCTTACTGGTATTACTTAACACTATTTCCGCAACATATACAACAACAACAACATTCATTGATTTCCCCATTGAACTCACCTAAGCACATAATTTACACTGACAATACAGTGTGTGCGCGATGAGCGTGTATTGTGCACCACTGTCGCATACGATTGTACCCAGACCCAGCCGCCACCCTTTGTCAGGAAGCGATAGTATTTGGTGGTGACTTGTCCCTTGTATATCACTGCAACATTGAGAAGACAAAAAAGAAAGAAAAAAAAAA